CACCACCACAACAACAACAACCGGCGCCGCCGCCGCCGCCGCCCGGGGTCAGAGCCCTCCTCCTCCTGCAACCGCCGCCGCCGCCGGCGCGGCACCGACACCGGCGGGGAGACGGCTCCCGACTGTTGGCGGCGCGCGCGGCGGCGGCGACGACGGTTGAAGAGGAAGAAGAAGAGGAAGAGGAAGAAGAGGTGATGATGATGAAGGACCGGGACGCCCGCGGGCCGCTCCCCGCCCTCCAGGCCGACCGGGCCGCGGGCCGCCTGAGCGAGAACACCCGCCTGGCCACCCGCTACGCCGTCAAGATCTTCCGCGACTACCTGAGCGAGCGGGACCACCCGCCCGACTTCGAGCGGCTCGACAAGGACGCCCTGTGCCGGGTCCTGCGCTCCTTCTACGCCGAGGCCCGGTCCAAGAGCGGCCAAGTCTACAGCAAGTCGTCGCTCATCAGCATCCGCAGCTCTCTCAACCGCTACCTGAACGAGCCGCCCTACAGCCGGACCCTCGACCTGACCAAGGACCCCGAGCTCCGCAGCGCCAACCTGACCCTGGCCGCCGTCATCAGGAGGCTGGAGGAGCAGGGAGCCGGGCCCGTCATCCAGAAACAAGCCATCACCAGGTAGACACACACACTCACAGGGAGTCGCACTCACTCACTCACTCACAGGGAGTCACTCACACACACTCACTCACTCACTCACAGGGAGTCACTCACACACACTCACTCTCAGGGAGTCACATACACTCACTCACAGGGAGTCACTCACTCACAGGGAGTCACACACACTCACTCACAGGGAGTCACACACACAGAGTCACTCACACTCACAGGGAGTCACACACACACAGAGTCACTCACACTCACAGGGAGTCACACACACACTCACAGGGAGTCACACACACAGGCACTCACACTCACAGGGAGTCACACACACACAGGCACTCACACACACACAGGGAGTCACACACACAGGGAGACACACACACACACAGGGAGATACACTCACACTCACAGGCAAACACACACACACAGGCACACACACACACAGGCACACTCACACACACACTCACACAGGCACACACACTCTCACACACACAGGGAGACACATCACACACACACACAGGGAGACACATCACACACACACACAGGGAGACACACTCACACACACAGGCAAACACACACACAGGCACACACACACACACACAGGCACACTCACACACACACTCACACAGGCACACACACTCTCACACACACACAGGCAGACACACTCACACACACACAGGCAGACTGACACACACACACAAACACACACACAGGCAGACACACACACAGGCAGACACACACACAGACAGACAGACAGACAGACAGACAGACACAGGCAGACAGATACACACACAGGCAGACAGACAGACACACACACAGGCAGACAGACACACAGACAGACTGAGGGGGAGACACACACAGGCAGACAGACACACACACAGGCAGACAGACAGACATACACACACACAGACAGACACACAGACAGACTGAGGGGGAGACACACACACACAGACAGACACACACACACAGGCAGACAGATACACACACAGGCAGACAGACAGACACACACACAGGCAGACAGACACACAGACAGACTGAGGGGGAGACACACACACACACACACACACACAGACAGACACACACAGGCAGACAGACACACACACAGGCAGACTGAGGGGGAGACACACACACAGACACACACACAGGCAGACAGACTGACTGAGGGACACACACACACAGACAGACAGGGACTGAGGGGGAGACACAGACAGGGACTGAGGGGGGGACACACACACACACACAGACAGGGACTGAGGGGGAGGCACACACAGTCACAGACATGGACTGAGGGGGAGAGACACAGACAGACACACAGACAGACAGGGATTGAAGTGGAGAGAGAGAGACTGAGAGACAGATACAGACCTGACCACTTCTCTCTTCCTTTGCCTCCTTCCCTCTCTCACTCCTCTTCACAGGGACTGAGGGAGAGAGTGAGACTGAGAGAGACAGACAGACACAGACTGAAAGGGAGAGAGAGACTGAGAGACAGACAGACAGATAGAGAGAAACTGAGACAGACAGAGAGAGCACCTTCACTTCTTATCCCAAGGGAGACACAGAGAGACTGAGACAGAGAAATACAGAGAGAGAGAGAGTACCTTCACTTCTCCTAATAGAGAGAGAGAGACAGAGAGTGAGACACAGAGAGAGAGAGACCCTTCACTTCTTATTCCAAGAGAGAGACGGAGAGAGGGAAGAAAGAGAGAGAGATGGAGAGAAAGTGAGAGCATCTTCACTTCTTATCCCGAGAGAGAGAGAGAGAAAATATCCCAAGAGAGATGGAGAGAAAGTGAGAGCATCTTCACTTCTTATCCCGAGAGAGAGAGAGAAAATATCCCAAGAGAGATGGAGAGAAAGTGAGAGCATCTTCACTTCTTATCCCAAGAGAGAGAGAAAGTGATAGCACCATCACTTCTTATCCCAAGAGAGTGAGAGAGGGAGGGCGGAGGGAGGGAGGAAAGAAAGAGAGAAACAGAGAAAGAGGAGAGAGACAGCATCTTCACTTTCCAACCCAAGAGAGAAAGTGAGAGAGAGTGAGTGAGAGAGAGAGAAAGTGAGTGCACCCCCATTTCTCATCCCGAGAAAGAGAGAGAGAGGGAGGCAAGAGAAAGAAAGAGAGGGAGAGCACCTTAACTTACCCCAAGAGAGAGAGAGAGACAAGTGGAAGAAAGAGCGAGAGAGATGGACGGGGGGAAGAAAGAGAGAGAGAGAGAGAACACCTTCACTTCTCATCCCAAGAGACAGAGAAAGCACTTCACTTCTCATCCCAATTCAGAGAGGAGGAGAAAGGAGGAAGGAAGTAAAAAAAGACACACTCGGAACACACACACACACACACACACAGTCCCTAAACCAAACCTCAACTCCTTCACCCACCATTTAAACTAAATCAATAAGAAATAAACATGGTCTATCTACGTGTGTAAATGAGGCTTTTTTTTTTGTTGGGGTGAGGGGGCGGTGGGGGGGATATTTGCAATAATTTGTCCATGAACTTAATCCATCCATCAGTTCCCTCATCTTTCTCCTGTGGAACTCCATCCCACAGACCTCTCGCCTCACCTCCCCCCCCACCCACCCTTCTTGCCTCCTTCAAGGCCCATCTCAAGACCCTCTTCTTCGACCCGGCCTTCAGTGCCCCCTCCCCGTCCCGTCCCGTCCCCCACTCTCATGTGTAACTTCACTCCTAGTGTAAGGGAAACTTGTTTTGGAGGGGAAACAAAAATGAAGTGTTCTTAAGAGTAAAGTGAGTTGTCCTGTTTGGAGGGCACTGATCTGTAACTACTGTACTGTACTAGGAGTTGATCTGTTTTTGAGGCACTGCTATTGTCACAGCGTCAGCTGCCGTTGTGGGCGCGTTGTGTGTTTGTACGTGTGTGAACTGTTGACCCAGAACACACAGGGAACAAAAGGACTCATTTCGAACTCCAGTGAATGAACGTCCAACTAACTCTTATTAAGGCTAACTGCATATTACCAACCTTGAATGTGATCGATTCTGTGACAATAGCTTCGCTGTGCAAGAGAGCACTTGTCAGAGCTGAAGCATTGCTGTCTTTCAGTGGGGAAGGGGGTGGAGGGTGGTTAGGTTGGTGGGTGGGGGTTAACGGGGGGTTGTGTGAGGTGGGTTGGGTTGGGGAGGGGGAAGGTATACATTTACTTTCTTCCTCTAAATGAAAATACGATCCTGAAACCTGCTGTAAAATGCAACGTTTTTAATCGGTTGGTTCAATGGAAGATCTTTTCAAGAGAGTTTGGAATAATTTTCTGCTGGACCAACATGACAGTCTTATTATTTTGTAACATGAGGAAATTGGTGAATTTAATTTGTGTGCGTTGTCCTATTTTATTCTATTTAAAATAACTGCGGGTTAAAATATTTCATATATCTCCGACAGCAATTTGCAATGAGTGCCTGGCCACTCAAAGTTTTTATATATTGGCGGAAGTATTTCCACTCTTTCTCTCACACCTCCCACTCCCACTCCGCCCGGTCAATTGTCAATGGTTTTGAAGTCTCTCCTCCCGCCCCCAACCCCCCTCTCCGAGTATGAAATCTGTCGAAAAGAGAGAAAAATGAAATATATACCTTTTGCTCTTATGGGAGATGGTAAAATAGAATTCCAGGATAATTTGTGGAAAGTCATGTACTTGGAGGTTAACCTTGGCACAGTTTTTAACAGCTCTATAAATTATTACATTGAAACACTTTCTACCAGTATTTAATCCACAACAGTTGCCTAAAACTGTTTGATTATCGGTATGACAACCATCATTGTAAAAATAACACTTATTATTAAGTGAATACAATAGCCTGGGTTAACCGTCAGTATTTTCCCTCCCTCTCCCCCCCCACTCCCCTCCATCATATTGATAATCCTGGTATATCAATATATCCAAGGCTAGATGAATATCAGATACTTTTATGATCTGACAATATTATTACTTTAACCCAATAGCACCTGTCAGAGTAATACCGGTAAAGCAGCTTTTGCAGGCCATACTAAGGGAAACAGCTATGGTTGGCTATTTCAGGTGCTAATTCGTAATAAGTAGGAAGTTACTATACTGTTATTGGTGTTGACCCTATTTTACATATAAATGATGCAGTAGTGTTGGCAGAAAAAATGCAAATCAATTTGCAGTACAGTACCGTACTTAAAGTATTAGTCGTTCTGGTGTTTCCACCATTTCTTTTACACATAAACTCAAGCTGGACGTTTAACAGGGAAGTGAGATAGATGGTGATTGCCACTATTGGTTAACACCTAGTGATTTATCTATTCTATATATATATATATCTATATATAAAAAAGAAATCATACTTTTTTTCCCAACAATTACTGTAATCATGTCATCGAGACAAATCATATCGTGAAATCCCTATCACCAGGTCCGACCTGAGGAAACTCTACACTTCCAGCGCCTTCGATACCAACACTCCCTTTGGATTGCTCAATAAGGTCTGGTTCGAAATCTGCATGTACTTCTGCACAAGGGGGAGGGAAAACCAGAGAGAATTGGAGGAGGACTCCTTTGGCTTGGCCACAGATGAGGACGGACGAAGATTTGTCTATTATAAAGCATGTGGACCTTACCACAGATCTCGCTCAGTAACGTGGAATAAGAAGAGGATGGTGAATGATGAGGAGAACTTCCCTAGGATGTATGAGACAGGCACAGATTTCTGTCCTTATGCAAGTTTTGTTAAATATATTTCCAAACGTAACCCTCTGTGTAAGGCTTTTTTTCAAAGACCAAGGGATCATTGCAATGAAAGTGATGTGACCTGGTATGAGAACAAAGCCATTGGGAAGAACCTGCTGGGCACCCGGATGCAGATGTTGTCCAAGGCGGCAAAGCTTTCTAAGACTTACACTAATCACTGCATAGGAGCAGTGTCCATAGCCACCCTGAGCAGCATCGCGGGCATCGGCAGCAGGTTGGTCCCTCACAGATCTCCCCCAAACACAAATGGGTCCTGTCATCTCGAGCAATCGTCCCCTTTCACAATCCAAAATCACCAAGGAGAGATCATAGGGGTAAAAGTGGAAACAGCCATGACCCCCACTCTTTACGAACCTGTGTACTCAGACGACACCTGTCGTCCACCCTCACAAAAAAGACTCTGCGTCCGGCCCTCAGATTGTGTAGATTCCCAGATCGCGAGCCCAAACAGGAACAACCCACAGGAATCTGTGCTTCGTGAATCCGGTGGCCAGCCTGGACCCACTACACCTATAATCATACCAACTAACCAGGTAATGATATTGCAATCGTAGGTTTATCACCACGTCTGGGTTCTAACGCTGCCTTTTAAACTAAACTAAAAGAAACGAGCTGTGATGTGTCATGTTTAAAAACCAGGTGGATGGGTATTTGAGGAGCATGGGTTTGCAGGGTTATGGGGAAAGAGCTGGGGAGTGGGATTGACATTAATTGCTCTATTCAAAGAGCCGGCACAAACTTGATGGGCCGAATGGCCTCTTTTTGTGCTGTACAATTCTATGATTCTATGTGCGACACCTGGGTTTTGTCAAGTCTCTTGTCTTTTAAGCTAAAAGCGGTTCAGGCGAACAGCTTAAATGTACAGTGGGACACGAGAGTTATCATAAGTTGAAGTTTGGAGTTGCTTTATGTATTTGTTTAGGCTCTTGACTAGCATTTCCCTTGGAATATTTATTGGGGGAGGGTGGTGGGAGGTGCGGTGGGAGGGGGGAATATTTGGAAGCCTATTTCGAGGGTTGGAGGAAATGCACATGCTGAAACGTTATCGGAGCAAGTGCTTGCTTTTGTGACCCTTTTGCTCCGACATTAAATCCCGTTGGTGTTTTTTGTTTAAAGTTCGGGTGAAAGTTTTTAATTTCAAGTTCGTGACGTAGACTGACTGACGAGAGGGAGTTTTGGTTTCTGTTTGAGAAATCCGAGAATCTCAAAAGGCCCGTCCGAGTATGCATTTGTGAAGGTTGATCACTGCTGTTTGAATCTTAATATTTTCATTTTTTTTTACAAACAAATTGTAAATGCCTCTAGGACTACGACCGCAGTATAACAAATTGAGACTGCAAATGTAGAGGAGGATTGTTTTAGTTAGAGTTTTTTTTATAGGATTTTTACTGCCGCGTTTTGCCCACAAAATGCAATCAATTCACTTCACAGTATATTCTGTGAAGCGCTTGGAGACGTCTCAAAGACATGATAAGGGGCTATATCAAATGCAAGGATTATTATTATTATCATTATTTAATATACAATTTTGAGTGAGGTAAACCCATGTACTAAAACCATAAAACATGGTGTGTCAGTCTGGTTTAGTTGGTAGCTCTGGGTCAAAAGTTTGTTTGTTCAAGCCACATGTAAGGACTTGGACTAGTGTTGCATTCCTGGAGGTGTTGGCTTTTAGATAAGACATTAATCTGAGGTCCTATCTACCTGTCCAAGTGAATGTTAAAGATCCCACGGCACTATTCAAAAAGAAAAGGGAGTTTCTCCCAGTATCCTGGCCCCAGGTAATGTTGGTCACAGACATCCTCTCGACGTGAAAGGCGCTATACAAATGTAATTTTGTTGTTGTTGCTATCACTTGCTCCATAGCTGTTTATTATTATGATTATGATTATAATAATAATCTTTACATTTGGTATAGTGCCTTCCACATTAGAAGGGTGTCCTAGAGCGTTTCACAGGATTTACTGTAAAGTGTAGTGACTGTGTATTTTGTTGGAAAATACAGCAGTTAATTTGTGCAGCAATGTTCCACAAACAGTCATGAAGTGAATAGCCAATTTTATTTGGAGGATTATTGGCCAGGACGCTGAGATAAACTCCTTTCTCTTTTCAAATAGTGGCATGGGATCTTTAATGACCACCTGAACAGGCAGACGGGGTCTCGGTTTAACATAAGATGGCACCTTCAACATTATAGAATACCCATAGCATTGCCTTTAGTGGTCAGCTTGAACTATACGAGTTAAAAGTCCCTAAGTAATAATAATAATAATTCTTGCATTTGATACAGTGCTTTTTCACATCTTCGAGACGTCTCAAATTGCTTCACAAAATATATCATAAAGTGAATTGACTGTACATTTGTGGGTGAAATGTGGCAGCCAATTGCGCACAGCAGTGTCCCACAAACAGTTGTGGATTGAGTGACTAAATGATTATTGTGTTTTCTTTCTTGAGGGATTATTATCAGGTATGTGGAGTAAGGAAGCTTGCCCAAAGTTTCACCCTGCCGGGAATTGAATCCAGGTCTCTCGCTTACGAGAGGAGCTTACTGAGCTACAGGCCTCCACATGTAGGCTTGAACCTACAACCTTGTGACTCAGAGGCGAGAGTGCCAGTACCTGAGTCTGTCTGTAAGTTAGCTGTCACATTTCACCCACAAAATGCACATCACTTTACAGTATATCCTGTGAAGTGCTTTGACATCTTCACAGGATATAGATGTCTCGATGATATGATAAGGCGCAATGTCAAATCTAAAGATTATTCTTAATATTATTAATAATAATAAATTCAACCACCTGCTGTTGTGAACCATTGCTTAAATGGACAATAAAAAGGAGCAAGTTCTCTGTTAACCTGAGCAGTTAATCTAATGCTAACCCTAACCCTAATTTGCAGGTCGGTCTCGGTATAATTTTCAAAGTTTTCTTTCATTCAAATTTTGTGTGGATAAGCCGGAAGTTTGCTTGTGGTACTCTTATATCTAAGGACAATAATGAACGAGCAGGTAAAGCATTTTGCTTGTCAAAGAAAATATTACCAGTTTTTCAAACATTGAAAGGACTAAATGTTCCTAAGTAGAACTAACCTGTACTGTGCTCCTCTTCGTAATGGTTTATCTCACTGTAATCATAGACGTAGATGAGAAAATCCTACTGATTAAGTGTGACTATTGTGTGTTCTCCCCCCCACACACAAGGCATTCTTTGTGCCTATTCAAGAATGCCAGCTCAGTGCTAGATTCTGGGCTGGTTTGTGCAATAACCGATGCCTGCCAAGACTTGGTAACGTAACGTTATTTGAACTTATGGTTGCTTTCATCCCACTGGTCTGGGCTGAATTTTAATTCTGGTATCAGAAGATGGAGATTCTTGTACTTGAAACTTTAGGCATGTTTCCTTAGTCCACACACCTGTTTAACGAGCAGTCAGTAGAAACCCAGTTGAAATCGCTTCTTTCCCTGGCAACTCCGAACCTCTCCGACCTCCTCACTCCCCAATCCACTACCCGGCACCTCCGCTCGACTGGCACCGGCCTCCTGCTGGTCCCTCACACCCTCCGTTCCACCATTATGGGGTCGCGCTTTCAGGCATTACGCCCCAAAACTTTGGAACACTCTCCGTCAATCCCTCTGCTTTCCATCTCCCTTTTTAAGTTCCACCTTAAGACCTTCCTTTTCGACCGTGCTAGAAGACCATAAGACATAGGAGCAAGAGTAGGTAATTTGGCCCCTCGAGCCTGCCCGCCATTTAATAAGACCATGGCTGATCTTCTAACCTAATTCCATTTACCCACCCTATCCCCATATCGTTTAATCCCTCTAACCTTTAGAAATCTATCAACCTCAGTCTTGAATATGTTCAAGGACTGAGCATTTACAGCCTTCTGGGGTAGAGAATTCCACAAATTCACTACCCTCTGAGTGAAGAAATATTTCCTCAACACAATTTGAAAAGGCTGACCCTTAATCTTGAGACTATGACCCCCTAGTTTTAGATTCTCCAACCAAGGGAAACAGTCTTAAGAAGCTTATAGGTTTCTGTAAGATCACCTCTAATTCTTCTAGAGAATATAGGCCTAGTTTACTCAACCTATCCTCATAGGTCAACCCCTCATCCCAGGAACCTACCTCGTGAATCTAGGCTGAACCCCCTCTAAGGCGAATACGTCCTTTCTTAAATAAGGAGACCAAAACTGCACACAATATTTCTAAGTGCGGTCTCACCAAGGCCTTATACAACTGCAGCAAGACTTCCCTACTCTTGTACTCTAACTCTTTTGCAACGAACGCCAATATAGCATTAGCCTTCCTAGTTGCTTGCTGTACCTGTATACTACCTTTCTGTGACTGGTGTACAAGGACACCCAAATCCGTCTGAACACTAACACTACCTAGTCTCTTCCCCTCTAGAAAATAATCCGCTTTTCCATTTTTACTGCCTAGTTGAATAACTTCCCACTTCCCATGTTATACTCCATCTGCCACCTTCTTGCCCACTCAGCTAGCCTGTCTATTTCCCTTTGCATTCTTCGTGTGTCATCCTCACAGCTTACTCTCCCACTTATCTTCGTATCATCTGCAAATTTAGATATGTTAAGTTCTATTTTCTCATCTAAATCATTGATACAGACAGTAAATAATTGAGGCCCAAGCACTGATCCTTGTGGCACTCCACTAGTCACATCTTGCCAATCTGAGAAGGACCCGTTTATCCCTACTCTCTGTTTTCTTCCCATTAGCCACTCTCCAATCCATGCTAATATATTACCATTAATTCCATGGGCTCTAATCTTATGCAACAGCCTTTTATGTGGCACCTTGTCGAATGCCTTCTGGAAATCCAAATACACCACATCTACTGGTTTCCCCCCTATCTAACCTGCTAGTTATATCCTCAAGAAACTCTATAAGATTTGTTAAACATGATTTCCCTTTCGTAAAGCCATGTTGGCTTTGCCTAATCATGTTGTGATTTTCTAAGTACTGCACAACGACGTTCCTAATTAAGGACTCTAGAATTTTCCCTACCAACGATGTCAGACTGGTCTACAGTTCCCCATTTTTTGTCTCGCACCCTTCTTCAATATCGGCGATACATTTGCGACCTTCCAATCACTGGGAACCATTCCAGAATCCAGAGAATTTTGGAAGATCATAAACAAAGCATCCACTATCTCTGCAGCCACCTCTTTTAAAACCCTAGGATGCAGGCCATCATTATTGGTTTTTAATCCTATCAATTATCTCTAGTACTATTGCTTTACTGATGTTCATTTCTTTAAGTTCCTCACTAACATTAGCCTCTAGGTTTCCCTCTATTTTCAGTAAGTTTTCAGTGTCCTGTAACATGAGGACAGAAGCAAAATATTTGTTTAATGACTCTGCCATTTCTTTATCCCCCATTATAATTTCTCCTGTCTGTCTGCAATGGACCCACATTCACTTTTGATAGTCTCTTCCTCTTTATGTACTTGTAAAAACTCTTGCAGTCTGTCTTTATGTTCCTGGCTAGTTTATCCTCATATTCCA